GACTCCTGCCACTGAAACAACTGAAACCTTGTGCCCCAGAACATGCTGCACCTATAGCCAAGTTGTTCCAGTATAGCTACACCACTGGCATCTACCTGGCGATGTGGAAAATTGCCCTGATGTGGCCTGTACACGAAAAGTAAGAAAAATCCAACTCGGCCAATTACCACTCCATCAGTCTACTCTCAATTAGTGCCATCAAGCAGCACCTGTTCGCTGAAGCCCAGGGTTCCACCAGGGACATTCAGCTCCTGACCTTATTACAGAGTTGGCTCAAACATGAATTCCACAGGTGAGGTGGAAGTAACAGACTTGAGATCAAGGCCACATTTGACCAAGTGTGGCATCAAGGAGCCCTTGCAAAACTGGAATCATGGGAATCAGGTGCAAGCTCTCACGGAATCATACTTGGCACATAGGAAGATATTGCGGTTGTTGGTGGTGAATAACCTCAGCTTCAGCACATCTCGGCAGGAGTTCCTCAGGGTAGTGTCCTCGGCTCAACCATATTCAGCTGCTTCATGAATTACCTTGCCTTCATCGTAAGGTCAGAAATGGGTAGGTTCACGGACGATTGCACAATGTTCAGCACCATTCATGACTCCTCAGATACTGAAGTCGTCCAGCTCAACCGCAGCAAAAGCTGAACGATATCCAGGCTTGGGCTGAAAAGTGGCATGTAACATTCTTGCACATGAATGTCAGTCAATGACCATCTCCGATAAGAGACAATCTAACCACCACCTGCTGATATTGAATGGTGTTACCATCACTGAATCCCCACTAACAACATCCTGGGGTTTACCATTGACCAGAAACTCAATTGGACTTGCCATATACATAGTATAGCTACAAGTGCAGGTCAGAGACGAGAAAGACTACAGAAAGTAACTCACCTTCTGACTCCCCAAATTTCATCCACCATCGACAATGCACAAGTCAGAAGTGTGTTGGTAAATTTGTGACTTGCCTGGATGAGTGCAGCTCCAACAACACACAAGAAGCTCGACACCATCCAGGACAAAGCAGCTGGCTGGATTGACACCATGTACACAAACATCCATCCCTCCACCATTAACACTCTGTAGCAACAGTTTGTGCTATCTACAGAATGGTCTACAGAAATTTTCTGAAAGTTCTTAAATAGCACCTTCCAAACCCATGACTATTCCATTTAGTAGGACAAGGGTAGCAGAGACATGGGAACACCATCTGCAATTTCTCCTCTAAGCCACTCACCATCCTGATTTGGAAGTATATCGCCATTTCTTTACTGTCACTGGGCCAAAATCCTGGAAATCCCTCCCTCATGGCACTATGGGCTTACCTACAGCACATGGAATGTTGCGGTTCAAGAAGGCAGCTCACCACAACCTTCTCAAGGGTAAATAAGGACTATTAATAAATGCTAGTCAGCTATCGATACCACATCCCATGAGAGAAACCCAAAGAAAATAACTTCCTCCTCATCTCAGTCTTAGATGTGAAACACTTTATTTTTAAACTTTGGTCCTAATTATAGATATCCCAACAATGAGAAACTCATCTTTTGAGCCTCAGAATGTTGGCATGTTTCAATGAGATCACCTCTCACTTTTTGAACTTCAATGAATAAAGTCTGAAACTGCTCAAACTTACCTTGATGTGGAGGTGCCGTTGTTGGACTGGGATGGACAAGGTCAGAAGTCACAGGACACCAGGTTATAGTCCAACAAGTTTATTTGAAATCCTGGAGGCTGGGTAGTTTGCTGCGAACGATGATCTGTTTAAGATTTGACAGTTGTTTGAAGGTGAGAAGTGGAGGCATGGGGATGCTCTTGGCAAAATGTTCATCGTCATCAATGACATGTTGAAGGCTGCAAAGAACGTAGTGTCTCGTGCTCCCACGAGGAGCTCGAACAGTTCATCCACTTCACTAACACCTTCCACCCCACCTTAAGTTTACCTCGACCATCTCTAACACCTCTCTCCCCTTCCTGGACCTCTCTGACTCCATATCGGGCAACCACCTAGAAACCGATATTCATTTCAAGCCCACCGACTCCCACAGCTACCTAGAATACTCCTCCTCCCACCCACCTTCCTGCAAAAATGCTATCCCCTATTCCCAATTCCTTCGCCTCCGCCGCATCTGCTCCCAGGATGAGGCATTCCACTCCCGTACATCTCAGTTGTCCTCGTTTTTCAAGGACCGTAACTTCCTCCCCTCGGTGGTCGAGAACGCCCTCAACCGTGTCTCCCACATCTCCCGCACCTCATCCCTCACACCCCGTCCACGCAATAAGAACCAAAAAAGAATCCCCCTCGTCCTCACGTACCACCCCACCAACCTCTGGATCCAACGCATCATCCTCCGACACTTCCGCCATCTGCAATCCGACCCCACCACCAAAGACATCTTTCCCTCCCCACCCTTATCTGCTTTCCGGAGGGACCATTCTCTCCGTGACTCCCTTGTCCACTCCACATCCCCCTCCAGCTCCACCACACCCGGCACTTTTCCCTGCAACCACAGGAAGTGCTACACCTGCCCCCATACCTCCTCCCTCACCCCCATCCCAGGCCCCAAGAAGACTTTCCACATCAAGCAGATGTTCACCTGCACATCTGCCAATGTTGTATACTGCATCCGCTGTACCCGGTGTGGCTTCCTCTACATCGGGGAAACCAAACGGAGGCTCGGGGACTGCTTTGCAGAACACCTACGCTCGGTTCGCAATAAACAACTGCACCTCCCAGTCACGAACCATTTCAACTCCCCCTCCCATTCCTCAGACGACATGTCCATCCTGGGCCTCCTGCAGTGCCACAACGATGCCACCCGAAGGTTGCAGGAACAGCAACTCATATTCCGCTTGGGAACCCTGCAGCCCAATGGTATCAATGTGGATTTCACGTTTCAAAATCTCCCCTCCCCCTACCGCATCCCAAAACCAGTCCAGCTCGTCCCTGCCTCCCTAACCTGTTCTTCCTCCCACCTATCCCCTCCTCCCACCTCAAGCCGCACCTCCATCTCCTGCCGACCAACCTCATCCCGCCCCCTTGATCTGTCCGTCCTCCCTGGACTGACCTATCCCCTTCCTAACTCCCCACCTACACTCACCTTTACTGGGTCCATCCCCGCCTCTTCGACCTGTTTGTTTCCTCTCCACCTATCCTCTCCTCTATCCCTCTTCTATCCGCCTCCCACTCTCTCCCTATTTATTTCAGAACCCCCTTTCCCTCCCCCTTTTCTGATGAAGGGTCTAGGCCCGAAACGTCAGCCTCTCTGCTCCTATGATGCTGCTTGGCCTGCTGTGTTCATCCAGCCCTGCACCTTGTTGTCAAAGAACGTAGTGTAGTTTCTTTGCTCCCAGGTTTGTACTGGACGATGAAGAGTATCGGTCATGTCTTGTGTCTGTCTTCTGAGGGAGTTGTTGCGGTTTTTCGCTGTGATACATCAGAACCGGCGATTGATGAGTTGAGCATCATATCCCGTTCTTATGAGGGTGTCTTTCAGCATCTTTAGTTGTCTGTCGCATTCCTCCTTGTCTGAGTAGATCCTGTGTATATGCAGGGCTTGTTCATAGGGGATGGCTTCTTTAATCTGTTTAGAGTGGAAGCTAAACAACCGCCAACCTTACATAGACCATTGTTTGCAGCAAACTACCCAGCCTTCAGGGTAACATCAACCACAACACCACACAACCCTACCATGGCAACCTCTGCAAGACATGCCAGATCATCGATGTGGATACTACCATCACACATGGGAACACCACCCATCATGTACATGGCAGATACTCATGACTCTGCCAATGCTGTCTACCTCAGATGCTGCAGGCAAGGATGTCCCAAGGCATGTTATATTGGCAAGACCATGCAGACACTATGACAACGGATGAATGGACACTACTCAACAATCACTAGACAGGAATGTTCCCTCCCAGTTGAGGAACACTACAATGGTCAAGGACATTCAGTCTCTGATTTTCAGTTAAGCATCCTTCAAGGAGGCCTTCAAGATACACATCAATGCAGAATCGCCAAGCAGAAACTGATAGCCAAGTTCTGTACCCATGAACACAGCCTTAACTGTGATCTTGAGTTCATGTAGCGCTACATGAAACCCCACTATACTATTCTGTTTTTGTAAGATCTTCCTTACTGTCCTGTTTTGACATCATCACCTTGATAACTTGTTATGATCTCTCTACCTTAATTAGTTTGTACAGTTTCGGATTACTTGTCACTTTTGTTAAACTCTTGGCATGTGCCTCTTATACCTATCATGTCATTTCAGCCGTTTGATTATCTCCAGTACCATCTTACTTTTAAGTTTTTGTAATTATCTTTTTGCCTCAATTAATCAGATAATAGGTCATCCCTTCATTTGCTATTCAGCTGTTGACACTTTATTCATACAATCTGACACTTTTGATCACCTACAGAGACTTGTTATTCAACTGTAGACACTCCATTCATACTATTTGTTCGATCTTTTGATCTCTCTGCCTATAAATTCTAAACCTTTCCTCACAAGACAAGGTCTTCATCCCAGAAATCAACCTAGTGAACCTTCACTGAACTGCCTCCAATATAAATATGTCCTTCCTTCAATAAACAGACCAAAATTGCCCACCATACTCTAGATGTGGTCATTTCAATGCTCTGTATAGTTGATTGCCACTACTTGCTTAGTCATTTTCTGCCCTAACCAATTATCCAACAGGATTATCCAAGAGCTATTGTTTGTAATACAGTGGTCTAAAGTTTCACACTAATTCGCCAATAAATTGACTTGGGATATGTAGCATTCATCCGCAGTCCACAATATTTTACTGCCTTCAAGAAACATGCTAATGAAATCTTTAGATATTGTAAGAGTTTTGTTTATCTTAACTATTACAGAAGCATTTCACTATTATTTTAAAGTTTTATTTGCTTGAACAATTTTGCCATAAAAATCAAGTTATTGTCGTTGCAAGATTTGTCTAACTTTCTTTGCAATACAATTTCAGGGTGGCAACCAAACGGCAACTGTTATTGCATTGTGTTCAATGAGGGACTTTAACTTGACTAATGAGACATGTCAGTTGGCCATCCGAGATGTGGGTGGCCTAGAGGTTCTGATTAACTTATTGGATACAGAAGAAACCAAATGTAAAGTAAGCCACTTATTACATTATCACAATATTATTCTTAAAAATAAAGAGGCTTATTTTTTTTCTGCTTAAAGTTCTGTGTGCACCCATTTCTTAGAAAGGAAGAAGAGACTGATATATACTGGTAGATCTCGGGCTTGTTTATGCATGATGTATATTCCATTGGGTTTGAGGACAGGTTTAAAAAAGGGTTGACTTGAAACAGGTAGAAGCTTTGTTGTATATTTGAAGGATTCAGCAAACTTATACCATTGTTGATACTATAACAAATTGACATTCATTGGGATAGATTTTGACATTGTGCCATAACATAAAATGATAGCAAGGCAGCAGCACATTTTACATTTCTCATTACTTCTATTTTTCAATCACAGAAACAAATATCAGGGGAGATGTAAGATGCCCTGCCAACCTTCTAACACCTGTTTCACATTATCTCATGAAGTCAAGATTTATGTTATTGTAATGTAGCTGGATGGTGATGATTGCTAAATTACGAGGAGTGTGAACAAATAGATTTAAAAGTATTAAACAAAAAGATTAATTTGTAATTTCAAAGCTGCTTCTGACTCTTTTACTCTCTTTTTCTCCCGGCATTTAGGCTTTTCAGAAAAGAGAAGGTTCAGAGTAGGTTCAGTAGGTTAGTTCCAGAGATGAAAGGCTTGTCTTATTAGGAGAGATCAGCAGTTTAGGCCTATTCTCGCTTGAGTTTAAAAGGATTAGAGAAGATATTGAGGTATATAAGATGCTAAAGAGGATTGACAAACTAAGTTTATAGATTTTTTTTTAAATAGAATCCCTAGAATAGTGTGGAAACAGGTTCTTTGGCCCAACAAGTCCACACCAACCCTCAGAGCATCCCAACCAGACCCATCCCCCTATAACCCACCTAATCTACACATCCCTGAACACTATGGGCAATTTAACATGGCCAATCCACCTAGCCTGCACATCTTTGGAATGTGGGAGGAAACCAGAGCACCCGGAGGAAACCCATGCAGACACAGGGAGAATGTGTAAACTCCGCACAGACAGTCACCCAAGGATGGAATCAAACCTGGGTCCCTGGCGCTGTGGGGCAGCAGTGCTAACCACTGAGCCACCGTGCCGAGTGTTTCCACTTATTGGGCAATTTAGAATGAGAGTCATAGTTTTAGACTAAAAAGTGGCAGATTTAAAACAGAGAAGGAGTACTCCTCTTAAAGGGTCGTGAATCTGTGGAATTCATTATCCCAGAGTGCAGTGGACATCAAGGCACAGAATAAATTTAAGTCGAAGATAGACAAACTTTTCATTAGTAATGGGTTTGAAGTTTATGGGTAGCAGTCAGGAAACTGGAGTTGAGGCTGTATTAAATGGTGGGCAGGCCCAAGGGGCTAAACTGCCTATTCCTGCTCCTTCTTCTTATGTTCTCTTATAAGCTCCATGGCTAAGTGTTTCTATTCAAAGCAGATAGCATCATCTGTTCGGCAAACTAACTAAATGTATTTCGCTTTCAGGTCATGAAGGTTAAAAACTAACATTTTTACATATCTATAGGTTGGCTCATTAAGGATTCTAAAAGAAATCAGTAAAAATCCACAAATTCGACGTTCCTTGGCAGAACTCGGTGGCTTGCAGATTATGGTGAAAATCCTGGACTCCTCTAATAAAGATCTCAAATGTTTGGCTGCTGAAACAATTGCCAATATAGCCAAGTTCAGGAGAGCAAGACAAACTGTCAGACTTCATGGTGGAATTCAACGCCTGGTAAGTAACAAAAAATATAAATTGTGTTGGTAATCAAGCCACTCCATGAGCCATAACAGCAGGGTAAATGTTTTGAATCAATTGCCAAAATGGCCAAATTGTTTCTCTTTATTACTCTTGTCCAAAACAAAAGTAACTTTCACAAGGTTTGTTTAATACACTGAGAAGTAACCCATTTATTATAACCAAAAGCTCTTGAAACAAGTGGCAAAACAGCAAAGGTATATTTCAGAATTAAACTTTATCCTCTTAATCCCTGACAATTCACACAACAATCAAGACAACACAGCTTTGCAGAAATGGTATGGATTAGTGAAAAGGGAGAAATAAACATCCTTGGGGCCAAGGATCTCAAAGGGCTCAAAAGATAAAATGGGATACCTTCTCAATATTCCCTGAGTTTCGTGCTGGCAAGATCAAAATGCTAACTATTGTAATGATGAAAGGTATTTAGACCAGACTAGATCAGATGGAATGTCAGTTAGATTTAGATCTTTGAATAGCATTAACAGTTCAACTTTCATGGTTTATGAGTCAGAGATATCGATATTTGAAACTTCCTCAGCTTAGCAGAAGTACTTTTCTGAGCGAGACATATGTGCCGCTTGTCCTGCTGTTAGGTTTTCTGTTATTTTATGAGGAGAGAGAGGGAGACTTGCTTATTGTACACTTTGGAGGTCTGTTTTCTTCGACTGACAGATGCAGGTTTTGGAAAAATAAGAACCAATTCCAAAACATTGTTGCTAGGCCATGGTAAGACTATTAAGATGTAGGTCAAAAATAGGCCATTCAGCCCATTGGGTCTTCCTGCCTTACCTCATAACCCTTGATTCCCAGCAGATTAAAACATCTCCCTACTTTAGCCTTGAAAATACTTAATGACCCCTCCTCTACAGACGCTTGTGGTAAAGAATTCCACAGATTCACTACCCTCCTCATTTCTGTCTTAAATGGGTGACCCCTTATTCAGAGATTATCCCCTCTGGTCCTAGACTATCTCACAATGGAAAACAACCCTGTATAGCTCCCTAAAAATCTTATATGTTTTAAGAAGGTTGCCTACCATTCTTCTACACTCCAGTGTGTTTTTTTTATTCATTCACGGCAAGATGGCATCGCTGGTGAGGCAGCATTTATTGCCCATTCCTGAATGCCCAGAGGGCAGTTAAGAGTCAACCACATTGCTGTGGGTCTGGAGTCACATGTAGGCCAGACCAGGTAAGGATGGAATTTCCTTCCCTAAAGGACGTTAGTGAACCAGATGGGTTTTTCCAACAATTGACAATGGATTCACGGTCACCATTAGATTCTTAATTCCAGATATTTATTGAATTCAAATTCCACAATCTGCCATGACAGAATGTGAACCCTGGTCCCCAGAATGTTATCTGGGTCTCTGGATTAACAGTCCGGCAATAATACCACTAGGCCATCACCCAAGCCCAAGCCCAAGCCCAAACCCACTCAAGTCTCCTCATAAGACAATGCCTCCATACCTAGGATCAGTGTAGTGAACCTTCTCTCATATAACAAGGTGTAGAGCTGGATAAACACAGCAGGCCAAGCAGCATCAGAGGAGCAGGAAAGCTGACGTTTCGGGCCTAGACCCTTCTTCAGAAATGGGGGAGGGGAAGGGGGTTCTGAAATAAATAGGGAGAGAGAGGGAGGCGGATAGAAGATGGATAGAGGAGAAGATAGGTGGAGAGGAGACAGACAGGTCAAAGAGGCGGGGACGGAGCCAGTAAGGGTGAGTGTAGGTGGGGAAGTAGGGAGGGGTTAGGTCAGTCCAGGGAGGACGGACAGGTCAAGGGGGCAGGATGAGGCTAGTAGGTAGGAGATGGGGGTGGGGCTTGAGGTGCGAGGAGGGGATGGGTGGGAGGAAGGACAGGTTAGGGAGGTGGAGACAAGCTGGGCTGGTTTTGGAATGCGGTGGGGGGAGGGGAGATTTTGAAGCTTGTGAAGTCCACATTGATACCATTGGGCTGCAGGGTTCCCAAGCGGAATATGAGGTGCTTTTCCTGCAACCTTCGGGTGGCATCGTTGTGGCACTGCAGAGGCCCAGGATGGACATGTCATCTGAGGAATGGGAGGGGAAGTTGAAATGGTTCGTGACTGGGAGGTGCGGTTGTTTGGTGCGAACTGAGCGTAGGTATTCCGCAAAGCGGTCCCCAAGCCTCCACTTGGATTCCCCAATGTAGAGGAGGCCACAACGGGAACAGCGGATGCAGTATACCACATTAGCAGATGTGCAGGTGAACATCCGCTTGATGTGGAAAGTTTTCTTGGGGCCTGGGATGGGGGTGAGGGGGGAGGTGAAGGGGCAGGTGTAGCACTTTCTGCGGTTGCAGGGAAAAGTGCCAGGTGTGGTAGGGCTGGAGGGGAGTGTGGAGCGGACAAGGGAGTCACGGAGAGAGTGGTCCCTCTGAAAAGCAGATAAGGGTGGGTAGGGAAAAATGTCTTTGGTGGTGGGGTCGGATTGCAGATGACGGAAATTTTGGAGGATGATGCGTTGGATCCGGATGTTGTTGGGGTGGTACGTGAGGACGAGGGCGATTCTGTTTTGGTTATTATTGCAGGGAGGGGGTATGAGGGATGAGTTGCGGGAAATGCAGGAGACTCGGTCAAGGGCGTTCTTGACCACTGAGGGGGGGACGTTGCGGTCCTTGAAAAACAAGGACATCTGAGATGTTCGGGAGTGGAATGCCTCATCCTGGGAGCAGATGCGGCGGAGGCGAAGGAATTGGGAATAGGGGATGGCATTTTTGCAGGAAGGTGGATGGGAGGAGGTGTATTCTAGGTAGCTGTGGGAGTCAGTGAGCTTGAAATGGATATCGGTTTCCAGGTGGTTACCAGAGATGGAAACAGAGAGGTCCAGGAAGGAGAGAGAGGTATCAGAGATGGTGCAGGTGAACTTAAGGTTGGGGTGGAAGGTGTTGGTGAAGTGGATGAACTGTTCAAGCTCCTCCTGGGAGCATGAGGCAGCGCCGATACAGTCATCAATGTAACGGAGGAAGAGGTGGGGTTTAGGGTCAGTGTAGCTACAGAAGAGGGATTGTTCCACATAACCTACAAAGAGGCAGGCATAACTTGGGCCCATGCGGGTACCCATGGCCACCCCCTTTGTCTGTAGGAAGTGGGAGGAATTGAAAGAGAAGTTGTTGAGGGTGAGGACAAGTTCGGCTAAGCGGATGAGGGTGTCAGTGGAGGGGGACTGGTCGGGCCTGCGGGACAGGAAGAAGCAGAGGGCCTTTAGGCCATCTGCATGGGGAATGCAGGTGTATAGGGACTGGACATCCATGGTAAAGATGAAGTGTTGGGGACCAGGAAGTTGGAAGTTTTGGAGGAGGTGGAGGGCGTGGGTGGTGTCACGGACATAGGTAGGGAGTTCCTGGACCAAGGGGGAGAAAATGGAGTCCAGATAGGTGGAGATAAGTTCAGTGGGGCAGGAGCAGGCGGAGACAATGGGTCGACCAGGGCAGTCAGGTTTGTGGATTTTGGGGAGGAGATAGAAGCGGGCGGTGCGGGATTGGGGAACGATGAGGTTGGAGGCCACCTGAGGTAATGAGGTTGTGGATGGTTTGGGAGATGATGGTTTGGTGGTCGGGGGCGGGGTCATGATCAAGGAGGCGGTAGGAGGTGGTGTCGGAGAATTGGCGCCCGGCCTCGGCGATGTAGAGGTCAGTGCGCCATACTACAACTGCGCCTCCCTTGTCCGCGGGTTTTATGGTGAGGTTGGGATTGGAGCGGAGGGAGCGGAGGGCTGCACGTTCCGTGGGGGAGAGGTTGGTGTGGGTGAGAGGGGTGGAGAGGTTGAGGCGATTGATGTCTCGGCGGCAGTTGGAGATGAAGAGGTCGTGGGAGGGTAGGAGGCCTTGGGGTGGTGTCCAGGAGGAGGGGGTGTGTTGGAGGCGGAGAATGGGTCAGTCGGGGGAGGGTTAGGCTCACGGTTAAAGAAGTAAGCGCGGAGGTGGAGGTGGCGGAAAAACTGTTCAACGTCCAAGCGTAAGCGGTATTCATTGATGTGTGGGTGGATGGGGACAAAGGTGAGCCCTTTACTGAAGACTGACCATTCGCGCTCAGTAAGGGGGAGGCCTGGGGGGATGGTGAAGACTCGGCAGGTCTGGGTGCTATTGTCTCCTCTGGAGCTGCTGGCTGTGGAGGCGGCGGGCGGAGCGACATCGGCAGTGGGCGGAGCGACATCGGCGTCGGTGGTGGGCGGAGCGATGTCGGCATCAGTGGGCGGAGTGACGGCAGTGGGCGGAGTTGCGTCGGCGTTGGTAGTGTGCGGAGCCTTCTCTGTGAACCTTCTCTGGCTTGTCTTCAATGCCAGTATATCTTTCTTTAAGTAAGGGCTCAAAACTGTTCACAGTTTTCTAGCAGTCGTCCGCCTTGTATATTTTTAACCACACCTCCTTATTTTTATACTCGATTCCAACAGTCATTTGCCTTCCCTATTATGTGCTGAAGTTGTATGCTAGCTAAGGGGTCAACTTAAATCTTGAGTTAACAAAAGAGCAAGTTTATTTGGTACTAACCACAAGAAGAAATAATATAGAACATGCATACATATAGATTAGCAACAAGAAGTGAGTCCAAAATAATGGTAGAAGTTAAAAACATATACAGATCAGTCTCTGAGTCGATTATGAGGAGTAGATTTAGAATGTTGCAGCCATTTCTTTGGGTGGAACTAGTAGCGTTGATTTTGTAGTTGAGCAATCAATTTCAAGATCTTTGGCTTATTTTAAGGATGACTGCAGTTCTTTTGTCCTGTTCCTTTCAGTGGTGACTAGCTGACAGTACTCACATCAAGAAAGTTTTTTCATTTCTTTACCTACAGTGAATGAGTGTTTAATGGCTGTGCCCAAGCTGAGGTTTTCATAGCATACATGTCCACGCTCTAGCACATCAGGCCAGTCATAGTAAAGGCTGAAATTGCAGTTGATTTTTAATCCCTTTTCTCATTTATAAAATATAAACTATCTGCAGGTGATGGCCTCCTGTTGAAGGCTGTGATGGGAGGCAGTGGATAGTCAGCCTCTCATTATCTCTTCCTTTTTAGTCTTTCTGATTGAATATTCTCCAGTATGACATTCTGAGGGGGAGATGATGGCCTAGTGGTATTGTCACTGGACCTATTATTCCAGAGACTCAGATAGTGTTCTGGGGACGCAGGTTCAAATCCTGCCACAGCAGATGATGGAATTTAAATTCAGTAAAATATCTGGAATTAAGAATCTAATGATGACCATGAATCCACTGTCAGTTGTCAGGAAAAACCCATCTGGCTCACTAATGTCCTTGAGGGAAGGAAACTGCCATCCTTACCTGGTCTGGCCTACAAGTGACTCCAGACCCACAGCAATGTGGTTGACTCTCAACTGCCCTCTGGGCCATTAGGGATGGGCAATAAATGCTGCCTAGCTAGTGATGCCCTCATCCAGTGAATGAATTAAAAAAAACACAGGACTCTGCCAGGCAGTCACTGAATCTATGCCTACAGTCATCTTTTGGCTGTAACTGTCTTCCTTAAAATAATGTTGGAGTTAAAAATACTTTGGTGTTCTGATGCATCATTGTGACACAATTAAAGCCATAAGGCTCATCTCCTGACTTCTTTGAAATCATTGTTTGACCCCTTTCAAAAGCTGCTTGACTGTTTGGTTATTTAGCAGGTGAGTCACTGTTCATATTACTATTGACCCATTCCAAGAAATCATAATGTCCCTTCAAAACCAAGGTAAAGATATTTTTAATCCAACAGTTCCCCATGATCCTTAAATGTAATTATGTACTTTCAACAGAACAATTTTTGCAATTTAGCCAGATCTGTAATCCAGAGAGTTGTATGCTTAATTTGTTTTAATAGTTTATGTAGTCATTTCATTGATGAGAGTTTCTGGCATAAAAGAAAGTACCAAATATAACTGATAAGGCTCAGTTCAATAATAGCAACTTGTACTTTGTAGCACCTTGAATGTAAAAAATGTCCTAAGGTGTCCTAAGGCACAAGGGGAATAAGAGGGAAAAAGATTTTATTTAATCCAAATAAAGGAACAAGTCATTGATTGAGAGTTAGGAGAAGGGCCTCAAAGTTTAGTAGAAAATTCAAATTTTAAGTTTCTTTTAAATGGAGAGAGGGGCTGGAGGTTGTGAGGTCTAGACCATAAGTTCTAGGATGTAGGATCAAATTGGTGAATGTTCTGCTATCACGGTCAAATGAAAAGCAGAACATTCATTAAAGGCCAAAAAGAAAGGATTGTAAGATTTGGAGAAAATATTAAGTTAAAACAACTAGCAATAAAGTGGCAATGTTTTAGGGAGGTTCACATTTAATTGACAGGAGATTCTGTTGGTGTCACTAATCCATTCACTTGAATATTCATTGTAAAGACAAAACCCGAAATCGGCAATGCAAATTTTTAAGTTCTGAATATTTGAGGGGAGTAGAGGAGAAATTGTTTGTGTGGCGGTGAGGTGAACTCAGCTTGAAAGGGCAGTAAAGATAGAGACCCTCATCACATTTAAAAGAATACTTGGTTACGCACTTGTGCTACAGACTAAGAGCTGAAAAGTAGGATTAGGCTAGATTTCTATATTCCAGGTGTACAGACATAATGTGTCAAATGTCCTCATTGTGTATTATAAAATTTCTACGTTTCTGAAAGAGCTGGGTCTGTGATCGGCTATAGAGCATCTGGATATTAGGAAGACAAGGACTATTTGAAATTTTAATAGTGAATTGATATGAAAAGTTAACTAAATATAAATAAGATGTACATTTTTTTTAAAAGACTGTAATTAACATTATAAATTTTGCTTTCTATGTAACTTCATTGTAGAAAATTTCACACATTACTGTATAAAGATGAAAAGGAAAACAAAGGTCACTGTTAATTCTACACCTCTCTACATAATAATTGCTTCCAGTTTCCAAGCTTATTTGATCCACACTATATATTTCAATAAGTTCACTTTTCCTTTCCCATTCCTTTTTATAACAATAATTTTATTTTTGTCCAATATTACTCAATCTGTACCTCAATCTGAAACATTTGACTTCATAAATAATTGCTTGAGTAAATATTGGAAACAGGTGAATGTAAATGCATATAACACAAGCTTTAAAATTGACTTTTTTTGATAATTTTATTTTAGGTTGGCCTTTTAGACTGTGTTCCAACTTCAGCTCATCTAACTGCAGACCAAGAGAAAGATATTGAAGTTGCACGTTGTGGTGCTCTGGCACTGTGGAGCTGCAGCAAAAGTAAAAAAAATAAAGATGCTATTCGTAAAGCCGGTGGTATTCCTCTATTGGCTTGCCTGTTGAAGTCTCCTTATGAAAATATGCTTATTCCAGTTGTTGGCACATTGCAAGAATGTGCTTCAGAGGTATCAAAAATCATTGACGACGAAATATATTTCTTTGAAAATATTTTTACTTGTCCTTTGTCATTTCATATTACAGGTACTTGTACTTTCTCAAAGGTCCAAAACAAAAGGAGTGCCATCTTTACAGAAAATTAGATTAAAAGATAAAAGTAGTATTACTGCTATGCTATCAGTAGAAATGTCAGACTTGATATCTGAATGTTAGTAAATTCTAATGTTTGATAATTTACTTGTTACCTCTGATAACCATATCTTTGAGGAAAGAAGTTATCATAAAGATTTGCTTACTCTTGAAGCGGCCACAAACCTCCACAATATTTGCTGAGTCATGATTTAAATTAGGATTTGTCAGAGGCACCATATCTTCAGAGGCAAAAGTTAATGAGGCATTGGTGTTAAACTGCTATCGGCTGCAAGCTGATCCACTGACAATATGATTCACAGGAATTGTATTGCTAATGGCAGTCAAAGTTTCGACCACCTTCTACTTCAGTGTCTTTGAGTGTTACCTGCTGTGCCAGGAGCTATTAACAACACCATAAGTACATGGATGCACCAGACGGCTAATGTCTTATTCATGAAGCAAATATCCTTGATTTTCCTTGGAGAAAGTAGTAAGGTGACCGTGCCATTACAGATCATGTGAAATGCATGATTCTGCAATGCCCAATAAATTACTGTGACTTAGATCTTACAATTTGAACACATAAATGTAAATTTTGAGGAGCTGCAAAGTGTTCCATTTCGATTTCATCAATAACCATTAGAATGTTGGGCAGGATTTTCCATATGTTTTCAGGACGCTACTTAAAATAATGTTGGTGCCCTGGCCATGGCCTTCCCATGCAATCCCATCTCACCTCCATAAGACACTATACATAAATAAATAATTACGTGTCAGCTGAGATTGTACAGCATGGCAGCTCAGTGGTTAGCACTGCTGCTTCACTATACAGGAGACCTGGATTTGATTCCAGCCTTGGGTGACTGTCTGTGTGGAATTTGCACGTTCTCCCTGTGTCCATGCGGGTTTCCACCAGGTCCTCTGGTTTCCTCTCACAGCCCAAAGATGTTCAGGTTGACTGGATTTGCATGCTGAATTGCCCCATAGTATCCAGGGATGTGCATGCAGGCTTGGTGGATTAGCCATGGTTATAGGGATAGGGTGGAGGGCTGGAACTGGTAGGATGCTGTTTGGAGGGCCGGTGCAGACTCAATGGGCCAAATGTCCTCTTTCTGAACCATGGGGATTCTATGATTCTATGAATATTACCCTGCCCATACCATACACAGATAACATTAACAGGCAGTTAGGAGTGCACAGCCTGTTTTTTTAAATAAGATTTTAGGATCACAGGAAGTGAAAGGATACTTCTTGATGGGCTGCCCCTTGCATTATTAGGCATCGCTGTGAAAATAGTATTGCTTTATCTCGTGCTTAAAGTCAGGACTGCTACCGGCACATTGAGATACTATGTTGAAGTATCTTAGGCTGTAGGTATCAGCATACACAGTATCCCTGAGGCTGCTGCCTCTTTATTTTGAACGAAGGCTCATCACCTTCTTGTGTACTGTAACACTCCTTTGTTTCTGAGGAAGCAAAAGATGTGTGCAGTTTTTCTACCACTGTCCCCGAGCTTGACAAATGAACTCTGCACATCTGAGGAAGGATCAGACCTGAAACGTTAACTCTGATTTTTTTTTTCTTCACAGATGCTGCCAGACCTGCTAAGCTTTTCTAGCAACTTCTGTTTTTGTCCCTGATTTACAGTATCCACAGTTCTTTTGGTTTTTACTCCTTTACTTATATCTGTACTCACTTAGTAAGTTATCAAATACAACAGTCTCTTCACATGCTCACTATAGTCTGGTGTCTCCTCTCTTATTGATACAATTTGATTTATTATTGTCACATCTACCTAGGTACAGTGAAATGTTTGTTTTGAGTGCAGTAAGGGCAGATCATACCGTACAAAGTGTGTGAGGGTAATAGAACAGAGTGAGAAATACAATTTTACGGCTGCAGAGAAGGTGCACAAAGAACGAGATCAACATTAAATTTAAAATGTCAGAAGTCCAGTCAGAAGTTTAATGACAGCAGGGAGGAAGATGTTCTTGAATCTGTTGTTCCATGTGTTTAAGTTTTTGTACCTTCTGCCTGACGGAAGAGGTTGTAAGAGATTATAGCCGGGATTGGATGGATCTTTGATTATGTTAGCTGCCTTCCTGAGGCAGAAAGAAGTATAGATGGAGCCAATGGGTAGAAGGTTGGCTTGCGTGATGAACTGGGCTGTGTTCACAACTCTCTGTAGTTTCTTATGGTCTTAGGCAGAGCAGTTGCCATACCAAGCTGTGATGCATCTGGATGGAATGCTTTCTATGGTGTATCTATAAAAATTGGTAAGAATCTTTGTGGCCATGCTAAATTTCCATAGCCTCCTGAGGAATTAGAGGCATTGTTGTGCTTTCTTGACATTCGCTTCAACATGGGTGGACAAAGACGGATTGTTGGTGATCATCACTCCTGGAACTTGATACTCTTGACCACCTCTATCTCAGTACCATTGATGTCGACAGGGGTGTGCCTTCCACCTTGCTTGTTGAAGTCAATGACCAGTTCTTTCATTTTGCTGACATTGAGGGAGAGATTGTTATCTTTACACTACACCACACTCTATCTCCTTCCTGTATTCTGTCTTGTCATTGTTTGAGATCCAGCCTACAACGATTGTGTCCATCAGCGAACTTACAGATGGAATTAAGCCGAAACTTGATGTCATGTATCTTATTATATCTCATCTCCCCCCACCCCCAAGTTTCTCTGTACTTGGTCCACATTATTCTTGTAGTTTACTTTGACTTAATTGCATGTTAATGTTATTATTAACATTATTATTACCATTATCACCAGCCACCATCTCCAGTCCACCAACAATACCACTCCTGATAAGTCTAAATATTTCAGGTTGACACAATCTAGAACTCTGACTGCACTTCCTAATCAAGTTTATTTAAGTTCAGCACTAGGTCATGATGTTATATTGTGCCTGGGATCATTGTAGTGCTCTTACATTGTCTGATGTAGCATAATTGTGGTAATTGTGATAATGATTGACACCACATCCATGAACATCCACTCCCTCCGTCACCAGCACTCACTGGGCCAAAATCCTGGAATGCCCTCCCTAACAGCAATATGGTTCAACCCACACCAGGTCAATTGCAGTAGTTCAAGAAGGCAGCTCACCATCATCTTCTCAAGGGCAACTAGGGGTGGGCAATAAAATGCTGTGCAGCCAGCAACGCCCACGTCCCACAAATGAACAAAAAAAATGTCTGCCTCACGTTCTGTGATAATCATACATGGTCTCACTTCTATGATTCTAACTAAGATCAATGCCTTCCTGTACATTCTGAGTTCCTCTTCAGGCATTCTGGCAACATAAAATCTACGTTGATCTGTTTGCCTGATGACTGTGGCATCTGACCTCCTATCCTTAACCAGACTTTCTGCTGTAGTATTAAGGTTGACAGAATTTCCCCCTCTGTCTAGAGTTGTACCACCTCTGATGGTTTATGTTATGGCTTTTCTCTGATTGTTTTATCTTCTCATGGTCTTGAGACATTAACTGAGAGGTCTGAGCAACGTGGACTATAGTAAGATTTGTGGTAGAGTGAGGCGAGAAGTGCAATAAGCAGTTCCGAATGTTAAGAGTACCCAGCTGCATATTCTATGTAACTGCTGAGTGACAAGTTGAGTTAAGCAGTAGTTTGGTGCCAATAAGAGGAATTATCACTTGTTCAAACCTTATTAATGGCACAATACACATCATTAATATGCAATTTTCTATTCTTCCAAATGCACGGAACAAGTTAAATGTCAAGAATTCTCATCATGGAAGTCACAGTGGGTGCTGGTGGTTTAGGCTTGCTGCTTTCTCAGAAGAACCTTCATGTTGAACACTGATCACCAACATTTCAGGGAATAAGTGATGAGCTGAAGCCATACTTAGCCCATATCCCTGCACAAAGGGGCCATTACTTGTCAGATACCAAAGAATCCACATGGCACATCTCCGATACATTGATAGTGTGCAAGGAAACACGCCCTTTGGCCAACTTGTCCATGCCAACCAGGTTTCCTAAACTGAACTAGTCCCATTTGCCGGTGTTTGACCCTATCCCTCTAAAGCTTTCCTATCCTTGTACCTGTCCAAACGTTTTTTAAATGTTGTAATTGTACTTGCCTCTACACTTCCTCTGGCAGTTCATTCTACATATGCAACACCCTCTGTGTGAAAAAGTTGCTCCTCAGGTCCCTTTGAAGTCCTTTCTCGCTCACATTAAAGCTATGCCCTCTAGTTTTGGACTCCGCTACACTGGGGAAAAGACCTGGCTATTCACTCATCTATGCCCTTCATGATTTTATAAATCTCTACAAAGTCACTTCCCAGCCTCCTAAGCTCCAGTTTTTGCCCCTACCATCCTTTCAGACAGCGAGTTCTAGGTCTCTATCATTCTCTTGGTGAAAAAGTGCCTTTCTAGGTGACAGTTTATACTGTCTCTGAGAATGCATTTTAATAATCTGTCCACCAAGGAGCTTAGAATGACTGGCCCTAAGATTACCTGGCTGATTCCTTATCTGAATAACTGAATCACAGAATTATTCCAACACTAAAGGAGGCCAGTCCTTTTTTTTGTTCTTTTTCAATTCTTATTCCAATTCCATCTTGAATCCCTCAATTGAACTGGTTCCAGCACATTACAGATCCTAACAACTTGCTGCATGAAAACGTTTTCCCTCATGTTATCACTGCTTCTTTTGCCAATTACCTTAAGTCTTCCTTATCTTGTCCTCAATCATTCCATCAATGGGAACAGATTTTCCCCATCTGCTCTTTCCAGACCCCTCATGAATTTGAATACCTCAATCTCCCAAAACCTTCTCTTCTCCACAAAAGACAACCTCAATATATCTAAACTATCTCCAGCAGTACAAC